AGACGGTAACCCGGAAGAGGTCTCCTGGAGGAGACATACACCCTTGAAACTGAGGTATCACACTTGTGTCCGTGTCTGATCTGTGTAAACGTTTAGTTCAAACCCCCTGGTCTTCCACAGAGGATAATAGCGGACGATATTGCCACTCCTATTTGCCATATCTTCATTTTAAGTGTGTGCCCTCAAGCCTGGAGGGAAGCAAAAGTAATTCCGCTACCTAAGAATAGTAAAGCCCCCTATACTGGCTCAAATAGCCGACCAATCAGCCTGTTACCAACCCTTAGTAAACTTTTGGAAAAAATTGTTTTGACCAGATACAATGCTATTTTACAGTAAACTAATTGATAAGACTTTCAGCACACTTATAGGGAAGGACATTCAACAAGCACAGCACTTACACAAATGACTGATGATTGGCTGAGAGAAATTGACGATTAAAAGACCCATGCATACCCCAAAAGACATGCCACCAGAGGTCTCTTCACAATCCCCAAGTCCAGAACAGACTATGGGAGGCACACATTTCTACATAAAGCCATGACTACATGAAACTCTATTCCACATCCGGTAACTGATGCAAGCAGTAAAAAACAAAAACGCAGAAACGCTGTTAGTTTGTGTTAGTTTTTGCTCGTTAGCATTTAGTTAATTGCAAAGACAGGCAAATCCAGCTCATAAAGTTATACAAGCACAGCTAGTAGCTAGCGAATGTCCTTTTCGGTGAGTGTGGACATTTTTTAGAGCGAAAGTGAGCAAGAGTAATTGTGGAAATGAACAAAGTTGTGATGCATGCTTTTCTTAAGGAAGACAGAGCAGAGGGGAGAAGAACAGAGGGAGGAAAAAAACACTAGTAGGAAGCACAGGGGGAAAAATGGCAGCTGTACTTTAACTCAGATAACAGAGCTCTTTGATTTCTAAAACACAGCAGAAAGCTGTTAAGATATCCGATGGCAAACATTTAGTGGTGAACCGCATACAAGTGTAACTTCATCACCTCACCGATAGACTGCTATGGACTCACCAGCTCCCCCTTTCTCTTGTTGTGCTCTTTACAACGAACATGTGACTGGCTCAACTGTTCTGGGGAACTACGGTAAGCTTCATAATTTAAAATAATGTGACCGGTGAAATGAAGATCGCAATTTGCTTAATCTCCTAATGTATTGTACAAGTTGACTGCAGGCATTAACTTAAAAAGTAGCTACAAATATTCAAATGTATTGAAAAACTTCAAATAAATAGTTGACGGTATTGACAGTATTGAAAAACCATCCTGTGGCTTTTTCCCAAATACCCCAGTATACGGTATACCGCCCAAGCCTAATACCTACGTTGACCCAGACTGCTGAGCTTTGTTGACTCATGGATATTGGAGGAAAAATGAGTGAGTGCAGGTTAAGCTGGGGTAGGTGTAACTTTACCTAGTGCAGGTAACACATTGGATCAAGTACCTTTTGTGTTGTTACCCCTTTGGCTAGCTACGAGAGAACGGCATGACTGGCAGATGAGGGCCAAGCTCTGGGTGAAAGGAACTTATCTCCAAGAGCCCTGTTTCAAAAGAGCTTTACTCTTCCTGACGAAAGAGAAGTATTGTGGCATTCTTCTCAGTGGGTTGAATGAAAAATAAAACTGGCACTGGATTCATTCGGAGTACAAAGATTTGCAAACAAACAAAAACAGTCTCAATATATTCAAAACTATGAGGGTCATGAGTAGTTTGTCATATTTTTGAAACCATGGTTTCATCTGTTCAGGCAATAAACATATTTTCATTCTGTCAATGTAACAATGTATTGTTGCTGAAACGATATCTGATGTGACAGAGGGGGCCACTCCACTCTCTCTTTAGCTTGCTTGAGGCTTTTGGCAGGGCCCTTGAGGAGCTCTGTATTTTACTGCTAAAGTTTATAGGCAATTACTACAGGCAATGCAGTTCCACTAACTCAGAAATAGTAAAATGGGGGAGGCGGAGGGAGAAAATCCGAGGAATCTCTCTCTCCATTTGGGAGAAGTGGATATAGTCCCATGCCTAACACATTGCTGATAATTCCTTTCTTCCTGAACAATGAGAGACACTCTGCATGCATTCAGATGCTTGAGCACAAAGCCTGTAATCTCCTACCACCCTGTAGCTCAGTTGGTAGAGCATGGCGCTTGCAACGCCAGGGTTGTGGGTTCGTTTCCCACGGGGGGACAGTATGAAAAATGTATGCACTCACTAACTGTAAGTCGCTCTGGATAAGAGCGTCTGCTAAATGACTAAAATGTAAATGTAAATCTCCCTTTCAGAGGTGCACACAATCCCTTTGCTTTGTATCTAAAAATACACTCTCAGCTCTCCGTCAGGTGACATGCAAGCGAATCAGGAGGAATTGTTTTCAGTGTCAGTGAAAACACTTAATTGCAGAGAGACGTAGGAGAGGGTAATTAAATTGACAGCCACATATGAAGCTTCAGAAGACCACAATGGAGGCCCACCACGATGTATGAAATCTAATATTTTGGGGAATACACAGATACAAAAGATGCTTCTCTTAAAATGGCTGACAGTCTATGCATTTAAAAAGTCAGTGCCCAATTTTATGTCCACAAAACAGCTCTTGAAATACAACGGTGCAAAAGCAGCAACAGTTTAGTTATTGTTGTGTACACAAGAAAAGTGATTACCTACATTGGATTAACCTATTAAATTAATACTAACCAGTAAAGTTGCATGTACGTTGATGGGTCCCGTGTGGCTCAGTTTGTAGAGCATGGCGTTTGCAACGCCAGGGGGGACCAGTTAGAAAAATGCGATGCATTCTACTGTAAGTCACTCTGGATAAGAGTGTCTGCTAAATTATTAAATTGTAAATGTAGACCACAACGCAGTTGCTAACAAATATCCATCCTGCACGTTTCAGTTCCCTTGTACCTTGGGCTAACTCAGTGGCGCCTCAAATAAGACTAACATCCTCTCAGTGGAAGGAAGTGGATTAACTTTCTCCATTTCCACTCTGCATAAGCACCAAATAACATTGTGTGAAGTTGTTTACACCACGGTATTTGCCATAAATAAACTATAAGCATGAATGTGAAGGTCTTTGGGAGTCATCCATCAGGAATTGTACATTCTATGTATGCAAGGCTGGAGGAGTTTGGTATAAGCATGCCACTTGTTTTGTGTATACTTTGGAATTCTGTGATAACATCTGTATTATTGGTTGCTGCACCATCGTTTCCAAAGGTCCATCCAATGAGGTACATCCTATTTGCCAAGATATTCTAATTATATTTGAAAGGGAAAACGCACCCAATATTAGCGCTGATTGTATCACATAATTAGAACGTGTAAGCCAAACAAATGAATTAAACAGGGCCCTGAGAAATTGGGCCCTTAACTCACCACCACGGACACATCTTTATAGTAAGTTCTTCTTCTCCACACTGAAGCTCCCCCATGTATATAAATGGTTGTAACTGGTGTTTACAACCCAACCTAAATTATAGTTTATGTTCCATCTTACCTCTATTACGGCCATGACCTCTAAGGGACTACAACAACGCAATGTTATTGAATTTTTTTTAATCATTATGAAGGCACAGAGAGTGAGGCAGGCTGAAGTTTTGGGGGAGTATTCTTGCACTTTAAGTGTGTGAGAATTCTCAAATAGCACATACTGCATCCAAAATGACAAAATGACAACATCGATGATTTTCAAATCAATATCACATCTCTTAGATGCTGTCAACACTTTGAAACATGGGGAGGGAAGGAGAGACTTCATATTGATATTTCTTTCAATATTGGTTTGTATAGAAATTCACTGTGGGACCTGCTGTCAATTTTGCCAGAGGCAATCCTGGGCAATACTGAACAAAACTGTTTTGATGCCAATATCTTTGCACAGAATAGTGGGAGAAAGGGAAACAGACAGAAAGGGTTGGGTTTGCAGGAATGTTTTGAAGTCAGGCCAAATCAGCTGGTTTCTGGTCTAATGTTAAAGAGTTTTGACACGTCAGGGTCACCAATGGGGACAGTGATGACTGAATAATGCAGATGTTTAAAACGCTTAACCCTAATTGTTCCTGTAAGTCGCTCTGGATAAGAGTGTCTGCTAAATGACTAAAATGTAAAATATAATAACACCAATAGTTCTGTCTGGTGTGTGGCCCCATCTCAGACACATCTGAGGGGAAGAAAGTATTGCATAATATCGACGTCATTGTTACGGCGTGACATAAACCTCAGCTATCAAACAGAACAGGGAGTATAGTGATACTCTCTGAAAGGGGCAGGATAAACTTCATCAGATACACTGCTATAGAGTATTCATCAGGTACACTGCTATAGAGTATTCATTAGATACACTGCTATAGAGTATTCATCAGATATACTGCTAATCCACAGTATAGCACGTTTCTATGGCTCTCTTCTTCAGTGTGTCTGTGACTTTATCATGTTAAGTCACATAACAGTATTTTCCACACCCTCTAGAAATGGTCAGAACACTGAATATGACTTCCAAGATCAAGCCAATTACAAAAGTCAGGGACTTTTGACAGTACTATTGTTTTCTGGTAGGTTTTTAATTTACACAATAAATGAAGACAGAGCATTATCTAGGCAGGCTGAGCCATCAGGTTAGATTTACGAATGCAGCACATCTCTAACTCAATGTGATTTACAAGACGGAGACGGTGGGGGTTGGACTGTGCCAAAACATTCTGCTGCTCTCCTCAACTCCTTAGATGCCGATGCCCACGCAGCACTTATTGACTGCACTCTCAACAGGATTAGCCCACTGGACCATAACCTCAAGCAGCTGTAAGTAGATAAGGGACTGAAGCATGCACACTAGACGAAACATAGACAAACAAAAAAGTTGCACACTAGACGAAACACATAGACAAACAAAAAAGTTAATCACACATCAAAACGACAGACAAAAGCACCTATTTCTGACTGAATAATAGCTGAAAGAAAATGCTAACTCGCTGCAACAAAAGAGAAATAAAACTCAAGTCCCTTGGTCATTACTTACGGTCATGAGTTCCTTCTGGAAGGACTTCCTCTCCTTGCCCTCTGCATTGTTGCAGTCCTCTTTCAGCTTCTCCAGAACAGACGCCACCCTCTCAGGCTCACTGTCCAGCTCTGCACGGCAAAAGTGTGTCAGCGGTAGGTTAACGTAACCCAGGGCATCGGCAAACGCCCTCCAGCTTCCTACGTTCTCCATCAGTATAGTCCTCACGGAGGCATAGATGTACGTCAGGAACTTGCAGGGCTTGAGGACCTGCTCCAGTAAGAGTGAAGTGGTTAGTTCAGCCCCGCTGAAGTAAATGGGTTTTACTTTCCCCACCAGCAGAAAATTTTTTGCATGGACAAGCCCTGTTCTACCCTGATAGTAACAGATGTACCATTCCTTAGTCCACAACTGTCCCTTCAATTTGATTTTCTCTTCGCTCAGAAGGGCAATGTAATCCCCCTTTTTGTACTCCAGTAAGTATTGGTTCTTGGTCTGACGGATGACTGTTTTGATCAACTTGCCAAACTTCAGGTTGCGGATTCGTCGGTCGTGGAACACAGGGTACTTGGTAGTGATGGCCAGAGGGGACAAGACAATTTTCCCTAGTTCCTTCTTCTTCAGGAAGCGCCTCTGCACAGATGTTTGTGGACCGGTCTTGGGTGGAGGTGCTGGAGTTTGAACGCAAAACTGGGCGAGAATACAGTCTTGGTCATCCTTGACCTGGACACGCAATGTGAAATCTGAGACATCATCAGCAGTGCGTGAGGCGATCACATAGACTATCCGGCTAACCTTTCCGAGTTTTACCTGGAACCCCCTGACCACCCTGGCCTGCTCACTGGCCTTTACCTCATAGTTGGCCATGTTGGAGTAAACACCAACCCGAAGGTCCTGGGGCCTTGCCAGGACAAACTGGTGCTTCCCCCAGAGCTGAAGAGCCACTGGAGGGGTGGCTTGGGCCTGCTTCCCTACCTCACTCACCAGTAATGTCTTTGGGGCACAGTCATGGCCGAAGATGGCCACTACAGTCTTAAAGGATGGGTGAATGTGTTTGGGCCCATAGACACCCAGGGTGACCTTCTTCACCACGTTGTCCCAAACAGTGGTTCCTGGAGCAACTGACTGGGCCTGGGCCACAACAGACACATACATGCAGGGCTCAAGGTTATCCAGACAGACCTGGACGGTGTCCTCATACATATAGGCTTGGGGGATTGGTGTGTAGGGCCCCTCCTTGCAGTCACTCCTCACACATATGACCTCTGTCGTCTGTCTGCTCTCCTTCTTCACCACAACAGACACCTTCATCTCAAGGGTGACAGTGGTTTTGGTCTCCATGTTGCCGAGCTTGATCTCCACCACAGGGCTTACGGTTGTTGTTCGGTCGTTGTTGAGCTCCAGCGGTGGGTCCAGCAGGGCCTTCATGGAGATCTGCTGGGAGTCTCCAGGGGCCACGTGGCCCTCCGGGATGTGGATGCTGATGCTGGTGTCTGGAAGCTGGACGGCCCCTCCAGAACTGTCTAAATGGCACACAATGTTGGTCTCCACTGGCTGTGTTTGTCCCCAGCCTGGGTTCTGACCCAAGGAGTCCAGGTCATGGCAGGACCTGGCTAGCTTGCGGTGATTGAGCCACGCCGCCCGGAAATCCTCTCTGCTCTTGAACTGTTCAGGTGCAGGGGCTTTCATGCCTCCAAAGAAACCTGAGGATGCCTGCGGGGCGTCATTCTGAGCCTGCAGGATGGAAAGTTCTGAGAGACTGTAGGATCGCTTGCTCCTGAAGAATGGGTTGTCCCTGCGTAACGTCTGGCCCACTCCCAAACTGGGGCTGATGGGTTTCAGATCGAAGATGCCACTGCCAAAGCCGTTGATGTTGACGCTGGTAGAGTTTGGTGGGACAGAGGGGGCTAGGTTATCAAAAAGAAGAAGGTCCACTGACTTACTGTTCTCATTACTGTTCTGATCCAATGAACCTTGAAGGGCCTCGTTGAGGAAAGGATTAGTGGAGCTACGGCTAAGGGGCTGGTGATGGGGGGCAAAGGGGTTCCCGTTTTGGGGGGCAGTAGGTTTCAGGATCACCCCGGTCCAATCTCCAAGGAGGTCCAGCTCCTTCGCTCCCTCCTCCACAGAGCAGTCTCCTAGGCTGTCGATCATACCGCTGTCACTGAAAGAGGAGTCCCGGTAGTTGATGGGCTGGACGTATGCCGCGGGGATGTAACCCATCTCAGTGCTGTTGTGGGCGTACCACCACTCTCCACCCGATGTGTCCAGCACAAAGAGATGTTCTCCCTTGGAGAACCTGAGGGTGGTGAAGCTGGAGGGGCAGTAATCCTTAATAGCAACAACTTCCCTAGCAGTGCCAAAGGAGGCAGTGGCGTCCAGTCTTAAGGCACTAGGAGAAGGCACTGGAAAAACAGAACATCAAAAAATAGGGCAATCTTATCAGAGAATCAATATTACGACAGAATATCTCAACGTAAGGTTTATCGTAGTCATGTGATGACTGTATATTTACACAATCAAAAAGTATTTTACGCAGTTAATTAACATGTAATAATCAACCTCATAGCGTACCTTTGACATCTGTGAGACAGTTGGATTCAGACAGTCCATCGCTGAGGTCAATGAGTGTCCCCTCTGACTTGCAGCGCGGCAGTGCAATGTTGTTGTTGGTCACTCTGATCCGATGGGCGGCCATTGTTGTTTATTTCCCTGCACACCCAACCTATGTGTTCAGGCTGTTCTCCTGAGTTACGTTTTAGCCAAAGGCAGAGTTAGCCATCAACAGCCTCCCATGGTGTCTGGAGGAGAGAGAGAAAAAACTGGATTAACTAATGGCTTATTTCTATCTAATTAGCTTTTAGCGACACTTGACAATCTCATGAAATGGGCCAGATGCATTCTGATTAGAAAACTAAATCAGACTTGCAACCTGCTCAAATAATGGATTACCAAATGCTGACAGGATGTAAATATTCCCCAGATATTTACATCCCAGAAGGTAGGATTTTGAATGTGGCAAGTGAAAGAAACACCCCTAGTCCCTAGTGTGTGTGTGTGTGTGTGTGTGTGTGTGTGCGTGCGTGCGCATGGGGGTTGTGTCTGACCTAATTCCTGCACACACAAACACAAAGTTCTCTTCGTTGAGGTGGGTGGTGAGACTTCAAGGAATGCATGATCATTTCCAATAGAATTTTAAAAAAATATTTTGGGAAATTCGTGTGAAACCTGTGAAACTCTATAGACTCTGAATTGTATTAACCTCATCTTTCCTTGGTCTACAATCTTGAAATTCTACATTCTATTAAACTATACCAAAAGACAGGTCGTCCTGAGAGTAGTGTTGCATGGTACACCGAAACTTCTGTACTTTTTCAATACTAGAACATGAAAAACGGTTAGGTACTAGAATTTTTGTTACTTTCGGTACTTCTGTCAAATGAGTCTCATGTCGTCTACTGACTGAGAGAGGATCAGGTCAGTCTATCAGCACAGCCGAAGTCCCCTTACAGCGCGAGCGCAACATGCCTGCTCCACTTACTAACTGCTAGCGCTAGCTGGTCCTGAGGAACCAGTCACTGGGGGTCTGGGCTTCATCATTCTTATGCTGCACAGAAGTTAACAAACTTGAATAATGCAACACGGCATGTAGAAATATTGATACTGTTAATTACTGTTTGCAAAACAAGCTATTTGATTAGGAATTTTAGGACACCTTTAGGTATCAACATTTTTTATAAAGAAACGATTTGATAAAATAGTGCATTTGGCCTTTACTTCTATAGCCCAGAGAAACACATTGAATAACACATTCATATATATATATATATATATAATATTTCCTGCATATATATACATACATACATACATACATACATATATACAGTGGGGAGAACAAGTATTTGATACACTGCCGATTTTGCAGGTTTTTCTACTTACAGAGCATGTAGAGGTCTGTAATTTTTTATCATAGGTACACTTCAACTGTGAGAGACGGAATCTAAAACAAAAATCCAGAAAATCACATTGTATGATTTTTAAGTAATTAATTTGCATTTTATTGCATGACATAAGTATTTGATAGATCAGAAAAGCAGAACTTAATATTTGGTACAGAAACCTTTGTTTGCAATTACAGAGATCATATGTTTCCTGTAGGTCTTGACCAGGTTTGCACACACTGCAGCAGGGATTTTGGCCCACTCCTCCATACAGACCTTCTCCAGATCCTTCAGGTTTCGGGGCTGTCGCTGGGCAATACGGACTTTCAGCTCCCTCCAAAGATGTTCTATTGGGTTCAGGTCTGGAGATGCTTCTTACGGAGCCACTCCTTAGTTGCCCTGGCTGTGTGTTTCGGGTCGTTGTCATGCTGGAAGACCCAGCCACGACCCATCTTCAATGCACTTACTGAGGGAAGGAGGTTGTTGGCCAAGATCTCGCAATACATGGCCCCATCCATCCTCCCCTCAATATGGTGCAGTCGTCCTGTCCCCTTTGCAGAAAAGCATCCCCAAAGAATGATGTTTCCACCTCCATGCTTCACGGTTGGGATGGTGTTCTTGGGGTTGTACTCATCCTTCTACTTCCTCCAAACACAGCGAGTGGAGTTTAGACCAAAAAGCTCTATTTTTGTCTCATCAGACCACATGACCTTCTCCCATTCCTCCTCTGGATCATCCAGATGGTCATTGGCAAACTTCAGACGGGCCTGGACATGCGCTGGCTTGAGCAGGGGGACCTTGCGTGCGCTGCAGGATTTTAATCCATGACGGCGTAGTGTGTTACTAATGGTTTTCTTTGAGACTATGGTCCCAGCTCTCTTCAGGTCATTGTCCAGGTCCTGCCGTGTAGTTCTGGGCTGATCCCTTACCTTCCTCATGATCATTGATGCCCCACGAGGTGAGATCTTGCATGGAGCCCCAGACCGAGGGTGATTGACCGTCATCTTCCATTTTCTAATAATTGCGCCAACAGTTGTTGCCTTCTCACCAAGCTGCTTGCCTATTGTCCTGTAGGCCATCCCAGCCTTGTGCAGGTCTACAATTTTATCCCTGATTTCCTTACACAGCTCTCTGGTCTTGGCCATTGTGGAGAGATTGGAGTCTGTTTGATTGAGTGTGTGGACAGGTGTCTTTTATACAGGTAACGAGTTCAAACAGGTGCAGTTAATACAGGTAATGAGTGGAGAACAGGAGGGCTTCTTAAAGAAAAACTAACAGGTCTGTGAGAGCCGGAATTCTTACTGGTTGGTAGGTGATCAAATACTTATGTCATGCAATAAAATGCAAATTAATTACTTAAAAATCATACAATGTGATTTTCTGGATTTTTGTTTTAGATTCCGTCTTTCACAGTTGAAGTGTACCTATGATAAAAATTACAGACCTCTACATGCTTTGTAAGTAGAAAAACCTGCAAAATCGGCAGTGTATCAAATACTTGTTCTCCCCACTGTATATTTCTGATTTCAAAGCTGATGGTCACCAAAAACATTCATTAACTTCGTCTCCCCCGCCTCATGTCTCGCCCAGTCAAGATCATCTTTGCTCAAGCCTGTGTGTGTGAATGAGGTCATGGGTCTTAAAGAGACGGCGCAAAAGATACAGCGCACACTTTTATAAAAAAGTGCAAATGTTGTTGATCAGGGCCCGGTTTCCCAAAAGCATCTTAAGGATAAGTTCATCGTTAGAACCGTTGTAGGAGCATCGTTAAAATCTCCGAGTTTTTTCCCAAAACCATTGTTATTAACATTGCACTTGAAAACACTCAATTTAACGCCTGCCTCAGACCACTTGTAGAACAGTTAAGTGCATCGGCAGATGCTTTTTTGCCATCCTGTGTCACTTTATACACAAAAGATCTTCGGTAAATATAGAATCACATGGTTTAGCCGCATCTTTGTGACGGCCGACAACATCAGACCAAAGTTGACTACAAATACAAAGTTGCCAATGTCGTTGCAATTGATACAAACAAGCGACGTATAAAAAGGTGCTTCAAATGAAAACCGAGATGACTGCATTAAAACATAAACAGTAGGCTATAGGCCTACTTCAATCTCTATTTAAATACATTTAATGTTCATTCAACTGAGTTCTATTTTGCTACTTGTAGGCGACTGTCTAACTTGTCTCAATATATTTCATGATCTGTATGTCACGCCCTGACTCAGGGGACTCGTATATGTTGAGTCAGGGTGTGTCTTTTCTGTGTTGTGTTTTGCTATGTTGATTTTCTATGTTTAGATCTAGTATGTGTAGATCTATGTTGGCCGGTGTGGTTCCCAATCAGAGGCAGCTGTAGCTCGTTGTCTCTGATTGGGGACCATACTTAGGCAGCCTATTGGCACTAGTGGGTTGTGGGATCTTGTTCCGTGTTTAGGTATGTTGTGTTGCGCTGCCTTGGACTTCACGTATCGTTTGTTTATTGTTTTGTCGTTGTGTTTATTCGTTAATAAACATGTATGCATATCACGCTGCGCCTTGGTCCGTCCCGTCTTTTAACGATCGTGACACTGTAGCCTAACATGTGCGAGAGCTGATCCGTCATCAGTATTGTGAAATAATTATAATGTTAAGGAAAGATTTGAATGGAGAAAGGTGATCCGAGAGCAGCGCTCCCTTTCTTTCGATCCCATCAGCAATCGACACATGCTCGAACGACGCACTTAGCGACCGTTCTCTCCACATGATGTATTTCCGTTGTAGGGAAAATGCACCGTTAAAACACTTGTAAGCATTAGTTCCATCGCTATCGGGAAACCAGGCCCAGTACAATAAAATAAGTCCCAAATGGAAGGGAAACAAATTGTTTGTCATCTGTAGCACCATGAAATCAGCCAAAACAAGCTCAATAACTCAATGCATTCACACACTCCTATTGAACATGCATTCACCTGTATTGTGAATTGGCTACATCTTGATTTATCCAGTTTATCAATAGAGATTTGCCATAAAAATGAATGACAACCATTATGTTATGCAGTTAGAATGGTAAAAAACTATGTCAACTTGATTGTATGAGTGTATCATTGATTCATTAATGCATACATTCAAAAACATATATATATAAACTCAGCAAAAAAATTAAACGTCCTCTCACTGTCAACTGTGTTTTATTTTTCAGCAAACTTAACATGTATAAATATTTGTATGGACATAGCAAGATTCAAAAACGGAGACAAACTGAACAAGTTTCACAGACATGTGACTAACAGAAATTGAATAATGTGTCCCTGAACAAAAAGGGAGGGGGGGGGGGGTCAAAATCAAAAGTAACAATCAGTATGTGGTGTGGCCACCAGCTGCATTAAGTACTGCAGTGCATCTCCTCCTTATGGACTGCACCTGATTTGCCAGTTCTTGCTGTGTGATGTTACCCCACTCTTCCACCAAGGCTCTTCGCTGGCCATGGCAGAACACTGACATTCCTGTCTTGCAGGAAATCAAGCACAGAACGAGCAGTATGGCTGGTGGCATTGTCATGCTGGAGGGTCATGGCAGGATGGGTACCACATGCGGGAGGAGGATGTCTTCCCTGTAACGCACAGCGTTGAGATTGCCTGCAATGACAACAAGCTCAGTCCGATGATGCTGTAACACACCGCCCCAGACCATGATGGACCCTCCACCTCCAAATCGATCCCACTCCAGAGTACAGGCCTCTGTGTAATGCTCATTCCTTCGACGATAAACGCGA